ACTTTGAAACACTATACTGGTCCCATCATTGCTTGGCAATAAAATCGTCCAAGATCTGTGGAGAAAAATGGTGAGTTCAGTTTGGAACATCAAAGGAGCTGAGAAGGCAGCTGTAGATACATATCTGTAGCTCAGAAAAGATTGGGCTTAGATAAGATCTGGGAGTTGTCAGCTGATTGGTAGCTGCTGGAGCCATGAACTTGGATAGGAGTGAGAAGGGAAGAGGGCCTAGAACAGAGCTCTGTGGAACTCAGACATTTGAGAATGTGGTTGGGGGAGAGCAAAGGATTCTGAAAAGGAGAAGCTGGAGAGGTAGGAAGGGAAGACAGAGGGGTGCTTCCCAGAAGCCAATGGGCACCAGTATCACACAGCACAGAGCAGCCAATCAGACAAGGCCTGCGTTAAGGTCTGTAGATTTTGCAAATGATTTCTCGTGACCTTGTGCAGACCGGCTTCCCGAGACCGGTAGATAAGGAGAAAGGGGTAATGCAGGGGTCCTCAAACTATGGCCCACGGGCCACATGCAAATACAAATATTATATTTGTTCCCGTTTTGTTTTTTTACTTCAAAATAAGATATGTGCAGTGTGCATAGGAATTTGTTCATAGTGTTTTTTTTAAACTATAGTCCGGCCCTCCAACCGTCTGAGGGACAGTGAACTGGCCACCTGTTTAAAAAGTTTGAGGACCCCTGGGGTAATGGATAGATTTATAACAGAACTTAGTAGACTTCTCATTTTTCACTATTCATGAAAAAAAATCATCCTTTATCAAACTACATGTCCTGATTTGGGGTACAGGAAAATGCAGTGACTGCACCAAGACTCAAGCTGTAACTCCACTGTGGGATATTTGCAAACCACTCATTTCCCTTCTTGGGCCTCAGTTTCCTCATCTGTAAATGAAGATATTGGAAGAGACATACTCTAAGTTTTCTCCCAGATCCACAGTTCTGTGGTCCGCCATTCCAGATGTTCTTTGGGGATGTTGGTGTTGCCGGGGAAGGTGACTGGGACTTGGGTGCAGTGAAGGAGAGGGCCTGCTTTAACCACCGCCGTTCCTGTTCCCTCTCTGTCTTGGGTCTTGTTTTCTCCCCAGACCTCAAGGCGGCAGCTAGAGCCAATGATGAGAAACACATGTTTCCAGGCAGCCCTGGTGTTGCGCAATGCTGCCAAGGAGAGGGCAAAAAAGAAAGAAAGAAAAAAGAGAAAGGAAGGAAAGAAAAGGGCTTTGGTATTCTCAGCCTCCACAGACAATTCCCCCATTGATGTGCTGTGAGTCACGGCGGGCCGCCAGGCCATGGCGGTTTCTGAATCACTTCCTCCAAGAGGGGCTCTCCACTTGTTCCCTGGGCTGCAACGCCAGGAGGCTGGGCCCTTGGTGAGCCTCCGACGGCTCTCCTCTCTGCCAGGGTCCAGCAGCGGAGGTGGAGGCGCCAGGTGGCAGGGCGGAGGGACCTGCATGGGAGGTGGCAGAGAAGCAGGTTGAACCTGCTTGTTCCAGCTGGCAGACCCCTTTCCAACGCTAAAACCCATGCCTCTCTCCCTGGTTAGAGAGGGAAGGGAAGCAAAAACCCAGATCAAAGGCTTTTCTCCAATGGGCACCAGTTTTTGCCAGATCCGGATTTTCCACCTTTCCTACCTTAATTCTCTGGTTGATGTGGACAAGGCTGGCATCTTTGGGGCAGTGGTAGATGTCAAGTCGGTGTTGGTCATTCCTGCAGTGACTCCCAAGAGGGTGTCTTGGGCTGCAGCTCTCGGTCTCCCATCTTAGAATTTCCATTTTTGAGCACGAGAATATCAATGGCCCGAGACACCCGCACCAGGGTGGTGGCATGGGAATGGGAGTCTTGCTTAGCATAAGCTTCATTCAGTTGACAGAGAGCTTCAATCCTCACCCTGGGCCAGATTCTGTGGTGGCACCAGGGATTCAGTGAGGGAATGAACGTGGTCCCAGCTACAGACAAATCAATGATGCAAACTCAAGGTGGCAAGTGTTCTAGGGGCGGGGTCCGGGGAAAATCATCCCACACAGACTTGGGGACAGGGGACTTCAGGGAAGGCGCCCAGAAAGGTTTGTGGGATTCTCCTCTGTCCACCGACCACCCCCAGCACTGAACACGCCATGAGACCGACTCTCAGCCCTTAGAGATGAAGTGGTCTCTCCCCTCCAAACCAACAGAGGGCACTGTTTCCCAATGGCCCCAGCTTTGGGAAATATGCTAAAATGCCACCACCTTGTGGGCATGCTGACCCATGTCCGGTTCACCACTCTACTGCTCCTGGGGCACTTCTCAGAGATGGGTTGGCCTGGAAGCAGTGCCCAGAAGAAACGGGATCAGGCATGGCTACTTACCTGATTGTAGTTACAGGTGAAAGGTTAAAGGAGGACCTTTTATGAAGTCCCTCTGTCCACCTACAGCTGGCTGAAGCCTTCCCTGAAGGAGGTGGGTTGGAATAAAAAGCTTCTTTATGGCAGGCACTACATCTCAGTCTTCTCTATGTCTCCCATAGCCTCTACCAGACCGTCAGGAAGGGAATAGGTGCTCTGCACATGGGTGCTAAATGGGATTATTAGTGTAAAAAGTCAGCCAGAACCTTAGCAAGGCTCTCTCTCTCTGTCTCTCACCACTGTGTCCCTAGCATAGTGCCTGGCCCTACAAATTATATGATGAACAAAGAAATGAAATAAGACACTTGCAAGTAAAGTGCTAGAAGCAGCAAGTATTTCTTGCTAGAAGAGGATATATATTGTCTGTATGGTCTAACAGTGGTCAGCAAACTGCGGCTCGCGAGCCACATGCGGCTCTTTGGCCCCGTGAGTGTGGCTCTTCCTAAGCCTTAGGAGTACCCTAATTAAGTTAATAACAATGTACCTACCTATATAATTTAAGTTTAAAAAATTTGGCTCTCAAAAGAAATTTCAATCGTTGTACTGTTGATATTTGGCTCTGTTGACGAATGAGTTTGCCGACCACTGGTCTAGTCGAACCTCCCTTTCCTTAGGTGCATCCCAGAACGGTACAGCGACTTGCCCCAGGTCACATCGCTAGTCTCAGAGCTGGGACCAGTGATATGTCACTGACGAGCCACTGTGGCTGCCTGGCAGGGTCAGCCATGTTCATATGAGGAACAAGGCAAGGCAGCATGTGTGTCTAGAGCAGGTGCTTGTCGAGAGCTGTACCTGCTAGAGGAGCTTTCGGCTGCAGTACCTTTTGTGGGACCCAGGGCTGGACACTGGCCTGTGCTCCTCAGGAAATCAGGAACCCTGGCCAGTGTGTTGAATGGGTAGCAGTCCAAGGGCTGAAATGCAGTCACTGGACACACACAATGGGATGCAGAAGGTGCCACAGTCATGTCACAGGGCCACAGGGAGCTCTCATCTCTGAGCAGGAGTCCATATATGTCAGCGATAATTGTTGTTACTGTTGCTAAGCACATGGTGCTTCCTCGCACTCCCATCCCTTTACACATGCTATTCTCTGTACCTGAGTCCTTCCCTTCTCAGATGGACAACTGCTCAGTTTTTAAAATCCAGCTCAGTGTCCCCTTTGGAGCTGCAGAGGAAGTGATGTGTGCCCTCATCTTTATACATAACCCCATGCCATGCTCATCAGAAGTCCCATGGACCCCCCTCCCCCCGAACCTTCCATTCATCACATGAGGGTTATGAATGGCATCTGTCCATCATGATGCCTATGGGTCCATGTGCCCTCATCTTTGTACATAACCCCATGCCATGCTGTTCAGAAGTCCCATGGACCCCCCAAACCTTCCGTTCATCACATGGGGATTATGAATGGCATCTGTCCATCATGATGCCTATGGGTCAGATGAAGCAGATTCAAGTCCTGTAGGCTGTGCACATTATGAAGCCCTTGGCAAGCATGAGAGATGTGTGTGCTTGTAATTATGGGAGGATGTTGGTTTCTGACCTGCCAGGGCATGGCCAGCCTGTCCCTCACTGCCCCACGTGACCCAAGGCCCAGCCTCCTGCAGGAGCCCCCTCCCTGTCATACAGTAGGCCATATCTGCAACCCTGCTCACCCTCCTTGGCTCCCAGGTGCTTCTGCCTGCTCCTCTCCCACCTGCTGGGAGCCAGGGCAGTCAGCCATGTGCTGGTTGTAAGCACAGGCACCCAAGGTGCACTGCCAGCCCACCCAGGGAGCCCCTACCCAGGGAGCCCCTACCCAGGGAGCCTCCACCGCTCCTCACCCACCGCCTGCCTCTGCTTGCTCCTGGGATCTGGGGGCCTCCCTGACTGCTGTCCTCTACCCCCAGGCTCTCCTCCTGCCCAGCTTGGACTGTGTTTACCATAAAAATGGAAAGGTCCCCTCCTGGCTCCCACCAACTCTTATTCCTCCCTCCTCCTCTGCAGCTTGCTTTAATGTCCTTGAATCCCTCTAGGGCCCTATAACAAGCCTTCCTTCATACCCTTATCAAGCACTGTCTGAAGTACTTACTCTCTGCGGGGCCTTGTGGGAAATCCAGCAATCTAGTCATTGTGAGCGCTCATTGTGTCCTACCAGCACCCTTAGTTAGTCTGCCGTCCTGGACATTGCAAGTGTTGCTTCCTCATGCTTTCGTCCCTTTGCACATGCTGTTCCCTAGGCACTTAGACTCCCCTTCCTACCTTCTCCCTGACAACAGCTCATGCTTCAAGGTCCAGCTCAATGTCCCCTTTGTTGCCTTTCATAAAAGCCCCTGCAAGGAAAGTTCATTATGCCCTCGTCTGCGTACACATTCTCCTCTCCAGGGCCCACCTTAGCCTGGCAGAGGCATGGGGCTACATTCTGAGGAGACCCGCTGGGCCGTGTTGCTTGGGTTCACAGCAGACTATCAGTGGGCTCTAACACTTAGTGATGAACTTAAAAACTAGATGCCGTAAGAGGGAGTTGTCAGAAACTGCCCCCAACATAGTACCTACCTATTACTGCATCTGCAGCCTAATCTTTATTTGATGTCACGATTAGTCTCCTGTCTAACGTTATGTATCGGCTGACACTCTAGTGCGTGTTATTTTCTAATACCAATCGCTTGTGTTCTAGTTGCGTGTATTTGGCTTGTTTGCTCCTGAGACCCTGAGGAAAGCAAAACGGAGTCTTCGGGAGGAGCTAAGTCTTGCAATCCGTCCTGCCTCCTCTCGCATATCCGTGCTTGCCTCCACTCGTCCACAAGGATTTATTGTGCACCTGTTACAGCCATTATGTATCAGGGTGACAGGCTTATATTTCCACTCAGATGTGCAAAGGAAGTGTCAGTTCTTTATTTTCTAGAATTTCGTTAAGCATCCTCGCCGCACAGATGGTGGAGAAACTTACACTTGTCAGTTCATGAGATCTCGGCCTCCGGTGGTTTACCGTCTCCTTCCAGTCCAGGGACTGAGTCTGTCCAGGTGTAACTCCCCAGAGAGCTGAGGAGGTGCTCCCTTGGAGATGACTTGGTCGTATAGATAAATGCCTGGTCTTTCCAATGCCCACCCTCCCCCCTTCTCCTGCCCAAGATGGCATCTGGGTATATAGATGCCACCTATGTCTTTGGAGCATTGTAGGTGGCAAGGGAGAGTGGATGGAGGGCTCCTGACCTCACAGTGTCCTTGGCTGGTCCCCACGGGAGGGATGTGGGTCTGAACTTGGCCGTGTCTGCCTGGCACGTGTTGAGCCTTGCTCAGCCTGATCCTGTCCTGGGCATCTGTCCTCTGAGCACAGGCAAGGCCCCCGAAACATGGCCTGCTGCCCTCTCTGACCAAGCCCCACTAGGCTCTCACTGGTGCTGCCTACTCCCCTGAGATCTGCCTGGGCTCTTACCTGGGCAAGACCGGTGTCCAGCCTGGGCAGCCTGAATATGAGAGGCTCCTGGCTGAAGGGTCACTTGGCCCCGGTGGCAGCAACCTCCCTCGGCAAGAGTCTCCCTCCTCCCCCCGAGTCTCCACTAACTTCTAAATCCCCCTTAAGTACAGATGGAAGCCCTGGTTCCTTCCCATGGCACAGGAGAATGGAGGGTGCTCAGAGGGCACACTCGGGCTCTCCCTGGCCTGGACTGACACAGAACATGGGGAGGGCCCCTGCGAGGGGTCTCCTCCCAGAAACTCGAACAAAAATGGGGCAGAAGCCCCCTGCCCACCCCCATGTTCCTCACTAGCTTTCTCAACAGGGCCCCTGAGCTGGCACTCAGCTCACAGGTGATGTCACTGGCTTCTCACCTCCCTCTGCGTTTCTTCCTCTCTGTCTCCCTCCCACGATCCCCCGAGGTGGAGAAGGCCAACTCTAGTCTTCATTCTTTCTGACCTGGACTTTCCTACACCCTGTCTTCCTCCTGGGCATTCGGCCTCTTGGTTCAGCCCAAAAAGTGGAAGAGTTTTCCACTCTCCCCCTTAACAGACGCCGTACGTCCACTCCCCATATGTCAATGGTCCTCCTTACAGACTCAAAAATTCCTTCTCTCAATATTAAAAGTTGAATATCGATCCCCTGTGACTCCCACGTGCTTGCTTTTGACTCTGGACTAAGGAAGTCTCAGTTTGCTCATCTGTAAAATGGAGAGCTAACAGAAGCCACTTCGTAGGCTGCTGAGAAGACTGAATGGCGCGATGTAGATCCAATGGTTGGCCCGGGATGAGTGCTGGGGAAATGTGAGCCGCTGTCACACTCCCCATCCTGGAGGAAATGCACATGAGAGGACAGTTCAGATTATTGTTCCCAAAAATATGATCCTGGTTTCAGCCATTAACATGTACCAAGCACCTACCATGAGTGAGCACCTATTGTGTGCTTAACAGACAACAACTAGTCAGGACAGAGGGCGGGTGGAGGATAGGAAAGAGACAATAGGAGCTTTGGGCAACCTGGCAGGTCCAGGCTTCTCCTGGCTGACTTGCCTGGTTGCTGTGATCAATCTTCTCCTTTAGGCATGAGCCTTGCAGGAGACACCCTGGGCACCAGAGTCCCCAGTGCGGGTCCCAGGAGTTGGCATTAAAGCCAGGGCTGAAAGGTCTTCTGCACCTGGTCCAGGTGGGCAGTCTCTGAAAGAAGTGACCATCAAGGCCAGGTCGGAAGGTTCCGTGTCACTAGGTCACCGAACATACCTACCTCTTACATTCTGTGGGCCAGAGACCGTGGGGTGGGAAAGGAAACGGAGGGAAAAGGAAGCCTTTGTTGAGCAAGCATTCTAACCTCAGTAACCCATGAGCGGAAGGTTCCGTGTCACTAGGTCACCGAACGTACCTACCTCTTACATTCTGTGGGCTAGAGACCACGGGGTGGGAAAGGAAACGGAGGGAAAAAGGAAGACTTTGTTGAGCAAGCATTCTAACCTCAGTAACCCATGAGCACAGATTCTATTCCCAGATTTCAAAATCGAGGCTCAGAGATGTTGAGCTGTTTTCTCAGGGTCACAAAGCTAGTACGTAGCAGAGTCAGAACGTGCATCCCTTCATCCCCTCAACACATTGTCTTCTCCAAAGCACATCCCCCTCCCAACCTCCGGCCTCTCAGCTCCCGTGTGTCCTGGTGTCTCCGGATGGGAAGCTGCCTGCCATGTGTGAGCAAACTGATGGTCTCCTATTGGAAGCACCTGCAGAGATGCAGGACCAGCCTGGCCCCTGCGGAGCCCCTGCCGGCGACACCAACTCTGGATTGGATTGGACAGAGGGTCACAATGTTTTTTTCTTAACTTGTTCTCTTACCTTTCTTTTCCTATTGATTTTAGAGAGAGGAAGGGAGAGAGAGTGAGAAATACAGAGGAGAGAGAGAAAAAAAAACACAGTGATAAGAGAGAGAAATATTGATCATTGGCCTCCTGTACATGCCCCAACCAGGGATCAAACCCGAAACCTGGTAAACCCACAACCTGGGTATGTGCTCTGACCTGGAATCAAACCTGCACCTTCTGGTGGACAGGATGACACTCCAACCAGCTGAGCCACACTGGCGAGGAGTTACCATTTTTTTTTTTTAAATAAAAAGGAGGAGGGGGTATATCCGGCTGGGAAAACACAGTGGTGGAGGCAACTTGATAACCGATGGTTTTCTGAGTGCTTCCGCCTGAAGGAAGCCAACAGCTGCGGCATATTGGTTACATGGAAATCATTAAGTCATTCTGGGAAGGAATGACAAATGTGTGTGCCTGTGTGTATATGGCAGACATGTGTTTACTACAGAGCGAGGCACCCACAGAGGGAATTGCCTCAATATCGCCTCCAGGCCAAAAGAAGGAAAATGAAACGCCAGTAAAGCTCTATTGCAGGAGACGATTCTGAAAACCAAATTCTCGGTTAGTGTGGAGGTTGAACTTAAAACTCAGAGGGAGGGATTGTCTATTCTTTGACCTCTAACCTGACCAAAGGACTCCCTTTAGCAAAAGGTAGCACCTTAGGGTGGAACCAGCCTGGACAGGGGGTCAGGAGCCCTCGGACTGGTCTCGCCTCCTTCAGTAACGAGAGGATGACCCTGGGGAAGTTTCTCTTCTCTCTGGGCCTTAGTTTCTCCATGTAAAATGAGGGGGGCTGACAAGGTGGTCTCTGGTGTCACTTCCTGCTCATATCCCATCAATGCCTTATAAAATTTTACAGCATAAACTCTGTGGGCCTGAGCTTCGGCTCCTGGAACAGCAAGCCCCGCCTATCCCCCAGCCCCACCCAAAAAGTGTTTCCTTTGGTAAAACTTGATTTTTCTATAAATCTCATTTGCCTTGTTGCAGGTGATCATTTGCATCCACAGTTAGGTTTTGCCCCCAAAGTAACTCCCCAGGATGTAAGACAAAGCAAAGCAATTCGTTGTTCCCCGCAGAGGTGCTCACATCCCAGACTCGGGTACACGGAAGGGCTGAGGCAGGTCATGGTTCACGGGACAAGGCACTGGCGTCCCCAGGATTGGCCTCTGAAGGAGCAACAGCAGGGACCTGAGACGCCTGAACCCACTGAGGGGTGTGCCTGGGCCGAGGGGGGGTCTGGCCGCGCGATCTGTGTTGAGTGAGTGTGTTGGCCTGGAGACTGGGGAGGACGAGGCAGCAGCCAGTTGTTGGTCAGACCCAGTGTGATCCTCTTGATGACCCTGACAATAGAGACAATCTTTGTCTCTGTCTTAAAGTGGCAGAGCCTGATCTGCAACCAGTTCTCTCACATCGCAGTCAGCACGCTCTTAACCACACACGCTAATGCAGTCTCTCAGCCTCGGCGCCAGCAGTTCAGACCAGAGAACTCTTAGCTTTGGGGGTGTTTTGGACTGAATGTTTTGTCTCCCCAAAAACCTTATGTTGAAGCCCTAACATCCAACATGATGTTCTTGGGAAGTGGGGGCTTTGGGAGGCCATTGGGTTTAGATTAGGATTAGTGGCCTTGTAAGAAGAGAGAGAGAGGTTTTCCCTCTCTCCAAACTCACACATCTTATGAAGCCACAGGAGCACACGGAGAGAAGGTATGTACACCGAGGAAGAAGGCCTTCCTGAGAACCGAATCTGACCGAGTTTTGTTTGGGGCCTCCCAGACTCCAGAACTGTGAGAAATAAATGTCTGTTGCTTACGCCACTCAGTCTAGGTGTTTTGTTCTGGCAGATGACCAAGCCAGGGGGACTCTTCTGTGCATTGTAGGAGGTTTAAAAGCATCCCTGGTCTCAACCCCCAGGGTACCAGTAGCCATCTCCCCAGTTGTGACAAGTACCTGTCTGGACACTGCCCAGTGTCCACCAAAGGGGAAAGTCCTCCCCAGGTAAGGACCACAGCTCGGATGTCAGCCCAAGGTCGGAGGAGAAGGTGGCACCCAGAGAACACTGTGCTCACAGTCCAGTGTAAGGAGTGAGCCAGGAGGCGGAGGTGGGTGTGGGTCCGCAGCAGTCAGGGCAGCATGGAGCAGGAAAGGAACATGGGAAGAAGATGCTAAAAAACCGAGATGTCCACAGCACCTTCTTGTGATGAGATATGAAGAATGGCTGAGTTGGCATACATCTGAGCAGGCACCAGTGATCCGGAGTCCAAAGCCTTTTCATTCATTCACTCAAGGGCGCATGTGCCGAAGGCCCACTGAGTGCCAAGCACTGAGCTGGCCCTGGGAGCCAGGATGAATGAGCAGCGCCAGCCCGCCTTCCAGGAGTGGGTGTTCTAGGGAGAGAGACAGGAATGTTCATGCCATTGGTGATAACAGCCGTACCCAGATGTCAGCTGAAGACTTCCCGAACCCTTGGGATTCAAGGAAAATTCCTTGGCCTTCCTCAGAATTTCTGCTAATCTGTGGTGCCCTCATCATCTCCAGAACCTGCAGCCTTTGGGGTACTGGAGTCCCCGTGGCCATTGTCCCCCAACACAGCCACACCAGCATCAAGTCCAGCTGCTTCTCAACTCAAGATAGAACAGCCCGGCCAATGTGGCTCAGTGGTTGAGCATTGACCTATGAACCAGGAGGTCAGGGCACATGCCCGGGGTGCAGACTCGATTCCCCCGTCGGGGACATGCAGGAGGCAGCTGATCAATGATTCTCCGTCGGGGGCATGCAGGAGGTAGATGATCAATGATTCTCTCTCCCTCTCCCTTCTTCTCTGAAATCAATTTTTTTTAAAAAAGATACAGAGAACAGACTGATGGTTGCCAGAGGCGAGGAGATTGGGGGGCTGGGTGAAAAAGGTGAAGGGATTGGAAAGTACAAATTGGTAGTTACAGAGTAGTCACGGGGGTGTAAAGTACAGCCTGGGGAATGGAGTCAATAATATTGTAATAACTACGTACGGTGCCAGCTGGGCACTGGAAATAACAGGGGAAACACTTTGTAAAGTATATGATTATCGAACCGCTACACTGTACGCCTGAAACTAATACAAAATAATATTGAATGTCAACTGTAATTGGAAAAAAATAAAAATAAATGTCTTAAAGAATATGACCGTTCCCTGAAGCCCAAATGCACAATTGCTACAAATTTAATAAATATTTTGAGATTGGACGTAAATTCAACGAAAATAAAAAAGCTCGGCTGCTTCTCCTGCTCCCACCACAGACAACAGTCTCCCCCACCCTGGGCGGTGTGCTCAGTGGACTTGCCCACCTCCTCCGTCACCTCCCGCCTCCCCTCCTCGAACCCCCTCCCTGTTCTCCAATCTGATCTCATCTTCCCACGCAGGGCAGTGCCTGCCACCAGGAGGCCTAGGCTCCCGCCAACCCAGGCCCTGAGGAGGCTCACCTTCTATCCCAACCACTTTCCAAAGTATTTCCCCCACAGAAACCTCCCTCCCTAAGGAGCACTCTGGAAACAGTTGTTAAAATGAAATAAAATCAGTGTAGCAGTATGTGGTAATGAACACTCAGCATAGTGATTCAGATGAGATTCTCTGGAGTTGGAATCCCAGCTCTGCCTTGTAACAGCTGTGTGGGCCTGGGCCTTGCCCTTCCCTGCTCTGTGCCCTTCATTTCCTCTTTCATTTGTGAAATGGGGACAATAGGCCTCATGCTCCAGAATCAGGGTTCAGTTCCCCATCTCCCTTCCCCCAATAGTCCACACGGGGTTGTGAAGAATGAGAGGGAAACTCAAGGTGGAAAGTGTTTAGAACAGTGTCTGGCCCGTAGTAGGTGCTCAATACTAGTAAGTGTTGGCTGCTGTGATCCCTGAAGGATGGAGGGCTTTGGGATGGAGTCTGGGACAGTCACAGGGCAGGGGAATGGGGAGAATTCCAAAGGATGAGGAAGAGTTTGCCCTTAGGAACCTCCAATGCCCTGAATTGTATGGAATCAGGCCCTGCTAAGTCGTGCGTCCCTTCTCAGCCTCGTTAACTTCCCTCTTGGCTTTCCCATCCATGTCCCATTCCCACGGGGCTCAGTGAGACACTTGGGAAAATATTTTCCAAAATAAATTTCAAGTCATTATCTGACCCAAACCACCCGGTTCTGCAGCCCAGCCCTGTCTACTAATGTTACCGCCCTGTCCCTATTTAGACTGGGGTTTTAGCACTGACCGCCCTGCACCAGGGCTTCCCTGTCCTGCCACCTCCTGCCTGACTCATCCCGTGATGTCACAAGCCGAGATTTATGGTGTTGGCCAGAGCAGTCTCAGGGATGACTATAGACGGGACCAGCCTCAAGTCCAGCTGTGAAACCAGGCACACCGTGTTCCACCTCCCACCACCCCGTTCTTCCATGATGTCATGGGAATCAGACAGAACAGCACTGCCTCCACGCTCTGCTCATTCTTTCTGTTTGACTGGGGACCAAGGGCTTTCTTGAAGCCTCAGTTCCCTCATTAGTAAAAGGGGGTGTTTGACAATCCAAGTAAACAGCCTAAGTGAGAGTGCCTGTGTCGAATGCAGTGGGGTCGTCAACATTTTTTGCCACAATTATGGTGCGTAACAAATCACCCCAAAACTCAGTGGCTTAAAATAACCATTAGACCAGCCGGTGTGGCTCAGTGGTTAAGCGGCGATCTATGAACCAGGAGGCCTTGGTTCGATACCCAGCCAGGGCATAAGCCCGGGTTGCGGGCTCGATCCCCACTGTGGGTAGGAGGCAGCCAATCAGTGATTCTCGCTCATCATTAATGTTTCTCTCTCTCCCTCTCCCTTCTCTGAAATCAATAAAAATATATTTTAAAAAAATAACCATTAATCTTGCTGGGAATTGGCTGGGCCTACCTGGGCTTGGCTCCACGTCGATAGACCAGCAAGCCCTCGGGGTATGTTCTCAGCATGGCAAGTACAGGACAAGAGGGGCACATCCAAGAACACGAACACATTTTAAGCCACTGTCTGTACCATGTCCGATAGCATCTTGCTGGCCAAAGCAAATCACATGACCTAAGTCCAGAATTTAAGGACAGGAGAAGTATGCTCATCCTCTAGTGAAAAAAACTACAAAGTCACCTGGCATAAGACCCTGATACAGAGAGGGGCCAAGAATTGGGAATAATGCCATCTGCTATAATAAGTGGTCCCGCGGTATGTCCCCTAATTTCCAGCTCTCCTCCGCATCCAGGGTCCTCTTGGCTTCACATCCTAGTCACTGAAACTCCCTGTCAGGAAAGAATGGAACACTCACGCTCATGTATAAACGGCCCGGAACTGCTGGATAGCACCTCAGCATTTGATCCAGATGTTGGGATGTGTTGACACGCCCCAAGCTCAGACTCTCCTTAATGGGATCTGGAGGCTCGGAAATTACTTGAAAATGGAATAACCCTCTCGCCATGTGCTTCGGTCAACTTGATGCCATATCCAAGCATCCCCCAGAATCAGAGCAGGGGCCACCAGGAACTCCAGCCCAGCCTCGTATGCCTGCAGCCTTAGAGGAAGAGACCACCAACTGACCTTCTCGGAGGTCCTTCAGTCCCTCCCCTGTGGACCCCCTTGGATTTAGTCTTTGGCTTGAGGAGGGGCATTTTTGATGGCGTCTTCCAAGGGCAATGGCCAGTTTTCTCATGACGCAGAGAGTAAGTGGGAGAGAGAAAACCTAAACAGGCAAAACAAGTGGCCAGCCCAGCCCATGCCTCTGACAGTTGCAGGGATATGCAGACCAGGTCTGATTCAAGGCCAAGGTCCCCAGCCATGCAAGGTGGGGGCCTCAGGGGAGTCAGCCCTTGCCTTTCCTCCTGATGACTTCTTACTGTCTGACACCAAGTGCTCTGCCTGAAATGTCCACCCTTAGCACGCCTCCTAAGAAATGGAGCCACAGAGGGAGAGGCCCCCATTCTTCCCACCATCTCTTTGCTTCCCAGACTCTGCTCACAAAGGCAGCCCTTCACTCAGACCTGAGCAAGCCACATGCAGAGTTTCAAGGGCGCGGGGAGACCTTCTCAAGTTCTTTTCGCTTCTGTGACGCTGCATTTGCAACCCTCCTGGAGCACCTCTTATAAGACATTCTGCTCTGCCTTTATTCATCTACTTTCCCAAAAAGATCTAATGCGGAGACGTGCTCAAGAAATGTTTAAAACTCAGACATCAATCTTCATTAAAACTGCCAACACCAAGCAAGCATGTGCATAGGAGTCTCACTCCACCATCGTCCCAGGAGGACTCAGATACAAGAAACAGAACTGGATTTTTTTGTAGGGTTCAACTGATTTTCTATTTCAAGCACCAGTGTGGGCAAAACCCAGCCAAGTTGGGGTTCCCTCGCCTTCTCCTAAGGCTGTGCCAAAGTTTGGGGGCTTCCGTTAGTCCCGAGGTGTCAGAAGGGAACAGTCACTGTCAATGGCAGCATCCACCTGGCATCCACAGAGATGCCATGGCCCTGTGGTCCCCAGTTAACAGTCCACACAGGTTGAATTCAATTCATTCCATCCCTGTGGTCCCTTTCAGGTCACCCGCTGGGTCTGGGTCCCTCCTGTTGCCCAGGACTCTCTCTCTGCTGTTCTCAGACCTCATTAGGGCAGAAAGCCCTGTTGGCGGCTCCATCTACCCAGAAGGTTCATCAGCCATTTCCTCCCTGGATCCTGGCTGCCTCCCCAGCGATAGAGTTCTGCCAGGAAACAGTGCACAGGTCCGCTCTGCACCTCAGGGTCCCCAACCTCCTTGGGGTTTGCCACCCACCCTTGGCCTCATGCTCCAGAATCAGGGTTCAGTTCCCCATCTCCCTTCCCCCAGAAAACATCCACTGCTAAGGTTTTCCCTCCTCATCTCCCCTCTCCCCGGCGGGGGAAGTCCTCGCCTCATCTCAGAGGTGAGCCCTTGCTCTCACTCACCCTACTCCTCCCGGATCTGTGGCCCGCCAGGCCCAGAGTCTTTGGTTTTCTTAAAGACTCTGGCTTCTAAAACTCAAAAGCCAGGAGGTGTTTACTCTTCTCTTCTCTTTGCTCTCTCCGGTCACCTCCCTGTCCTGAGGCAGCAGCAACCCCAGAACAGTCCAGGGGCTCCCGTGAAGGAGAGCCTCAGAGAGGGGGCAAACCAGGTTGAAAAAAATGACCAGTTGAAATTGTCAGCAACCTCACCCAGCCTCACACACATGAAAGCCTGTGTTAGTTTTAGGGCAAACAGAGCAGCCAAGTTCAAGGTATAAGGAGGTACTTCCCTGCCTCTCCTGGGCCCTTAGCACTCCCTTCACTGTTCTTCGGTTTTAGGAAGGATGCTGGGCCCCAGGGACTTCCCTTCGTAGTTTTGTAAGAAAATTATCTGGAGGAAAGAATGTCACTGTCAAAACACCTGTCTCCACGCCCCCATCCGTCCCCCAACCTCACCCTCACCCCTCAGAGACCTGCCCCGAGCTGCTCGACCTCTCACCATCTGGGCCACTGGCCACCTGGCCACCTCACTCCAGGACATCTGAAGTGACTCTCAGGATTGGAGCCGGGGTTGAGGGTGATGGAGACTCGGGGTACAGAGGCTCAGTAGCTGCAGACACCGGACCCAGCTTCTCCCCGATTTCTGGGAACAGCCAGAAAAAGAGGAGAAAGTCCTCAAGCCTTCCACATTGGGAGGCCCAGGCGGCCTCCCCAGTCCTGGGGGGAGGGAGGGGCCAGAGGTGGGAGAGGCCGCTGAGCTATTCCAAAGGCGATTTCTTCACTTCCTGGCAGCTCCAGGCCCAGCGTGTTTGTTTAGGAGGGAAAGGAATGTCACTGATTGCCCAGGCGGTGGCGGTGAGGGGAAAACAAAAATAATCTGCCCAGCGGTTCCTGCTTCCTGTGCATGTGTCCGTGAGCGTGAGCGTGAGGTGCCGCTGCAGGCCTGGCGAGCCCCCTGCTAGTTTCGGCTGCAAAGGACTCATGTGGGAGCCATTGGTGGAGCCAGAGCCTGCTGAGGAGGCACCCCCGGGCCCCGACGCTCCCCTGACAGGACAGCTGCCACCTGGCCCCCAGGAGACCTTTATTCTCAGTTATAGCTTCTGGGACTGGTGGCAGGCCTTCCTCCTCCTCCTCTTCATCTTCCTCCTCCTCCTCCTCCTCTTCCTCTTCCTCCTCTTACTCCTCCGCCTCTTACTCCTCTTCCCCTCTTCTTCCTCCTCCCTCGCTTCCTGCTCCTCTTCCTCTTCTTTCCCTTTCTCCTCCTCCTCCTCCTCTTCCTCCTCCTCCTTTTTAGGGTTGAATAATATTCCTTTGTGTGAATATGCCACATTTTGTTTATGCATGCGTCAGTTCATGGGCATTTAGGCTATTTGCACCTTTTGGCTAATATGAATAATGCTGCTATAAATACTCAAGGACAACTTTTGGTGTGGACATACGTTTTCATTGCTTTGGGGCAGATAACAAGGGGCGGCATGGCTGGGTTCAGGGCACCTGTGTAATATGCAATTCCTGGGCCTACAGACCCTCTAAATCAGACTCTCTAGGAGCGGGTCCAGATTACACACCCCTTAGCCTGCTCCGAGGCACCCGGAACTGCACCAGCGTCAGAACCTCTGGCCTGCAGCACGCCCCTCTCCTGAGGCAGAGAGCCAGCAGGAGGCAGCCCTGCCTGACTGTCTGTAATTTAATTGCCACTTATTGACGTTTGTGCAGAATTTATTTAGGCTGTTCTCATATCGAGTGATGCCATGGAGCCACGTTCAATCTTTGCAGCAGTCAGAGAGGCCGGCATGATCACCCCACATTGCTGCCAGTAGACAGGTGGGCCCATGCCCAGGTGCACCCAGCTATGAGCTGCAGGGCACACCAGGGCCTCTTGGTGTGAAGCCCAATGCTCATCCATAGCACATCTTCTGACTCTGTTTTCTAAATCAAAGCTGAATCCATGGGCTCAGACAAGTAGAAGTGTATTTGTGGAGCCTGTGAGGGGCTGGGGGCTGGAGCCCTCCCCCACCCCAACACTGGCCCTGAGGCCCCCTAGTGGAACCCCTAGTGCTTTACATGATGTAAAATCAATTCATCCTGGCCAACAGCCCTATGGGGCAAAGTACTATTATTTCTCCGTTTGACAGATGAGGAGACTGAGGTACAAAGTGGAAGTAATTTGCCTAAAATCTTGCACCACTATGGGAATGAGCTAGGATAGAACTTGACGGTTTCACAGCCAACGCCCTTGACCACTGTATACCAACTGTCAAGTGCTGGCCAAATGACAGGCTTTGTGTGACTATCCACGACTGCCCATGAACTAATGGGAGTGCCGAAGACATCACGGCAGTCCCTGGGCCTTGCAAACCCTGTGTGCATTACCTAAACGGAAATGAGATTAGGAAAACACCATGAAGCAGGGGTTCAAAACCCCAGGCTCTGGGGTTCATTTCTCTACCCGTCATAGAGTCAACCCCTGAGCCAAGCTGAGAAATAAGTAGGAAGAAGAAGGTAAAGGCGGGTGTTTGCCCTCTAGCTGTTGAATGCCTAGCGGGCTTCTGCCCCAGCCGGGACCTTCCTGCCCAAACCCCAAGCACAGGGCTACAGATTCACAGCCATGAGCTCTCAGAGCAGGAAGGAACTTCAGAGATCATCTGGCCATCCCAATAGTTCCCAGATTTAAAAGACAATAACCCAGGGCCCCAAAGGGTGGGTGTCTTGCCCAAGATCACACTGTTAATGCCAGTTCCCACGAATTTAGAACTTACCAAAACTGTGCACTCACAAACACAGTCTCATTATGGAAGAGACCCAGAGGCCCTGAAAGAGGGCGTCATTGGCCTGAGGTCACACAGTTACAAAATGTCAGATCTGGGGTTCCAAATGCCAGGTCAGTGCCCCCACTCCAGGCCAGTGCCCCCCTCCGCCGGGCGCACGGGCCAGCGGGAGCAGAGCCCCCTACTCAAGCTGCTGGTTGCCTTCTCCACTATCGGAGAGATAAACCACCCTCTCCTCCTGCCACGTCCCAGCAGTCAGCGCTGGAGCAGCCAGGGCGCCGCCGTGTGCCTGGTGATATGGGAGCAGCATGCTCACCCACAGATGCCAACACCCCTGCGTTATGCAACAAGCCGCTGGTCCAAGAGTTGCTGTAACACCTTTATCTGCCCGGGGCAGACCCCATCTGCCAATACGCAGCGTCTCTCTGGCGCCGGGTGAACCAACGGGAGCGGTCACCGAGCTCCTGGCCCTTCGCTATCTGACTTGTTTTTGTAGGAAGTCAACATAAGAGCCAAAAGCAAATTCCTCACCCCATAGACTGTTCATTTCCTGCCTTTGGTGACATTAAAAGGGCTCTGGCTTGGGCAAAACAGGCTTTGGAGTGGAGGTGCTGGAGCCCGACTCCCCCTGGTTCACATCCTCCATCACCACTGCGGCTGGATGGCCTCGGGCGAGTCGGTTATTCATCCATAAAACGGAAGTCTTCGCAGTGCCCACCTCCTCGCCTGGGTGGGAAGATCAAATGAGATCATGGATATAAAGCCCTTGAATGCCTGGCGCATAGGAGTTGTTTCATAAGAAGTATAATTGCCTGGTCGGTGTGGCTCAGTGGTTGAGTGTCAACCCACAAATCAAGAGGTCACAGTTCAATTCCCCATCAGGGCACGTGCCTGGGCTGCGGGCTCGATCCCCAGTGGGGGCGTGCAGGAGGCAGCCGGTCGATGATTCTCTCTCATCATTGATGTTTCTATCTCTCTCTCCCTCTCTCTGAAAGACATAAACACATATTTTTTAAAAAGGAGCATAATGACTACTGAGCTCTCAGGGAAGATGCAGCACCCCTACAACTGCCCGTCCCTGGAAGCCAGGGCTGCACTGGGTGCTTTCTAAAGGGCCCCCTGCTCTCAGGATCTGTGAGTTATTTAACTTCGGTGGATGTTGATTCTCTTCTCCTTGTCCCTGAAGGAACTTCAGGGTCCATCCGTAAGCCTTAGGCAGAGCTGTGCAGAAGGTGTGCTCAGCTGGCCTAAGGGCCCAAAGAGCTGAGGATTTCAAAATAGGTGCAAAAAATGACGCGTCAAACAGCATCTGCTCTTTGAAGGCATCTTAAAACGTCCCTCCGGCATGGGTTGGCATTAGGGCTGGCATCAGGCTTGCTGTTGAATTCAGGGTCAAGTTTGGCGTCGAAAGGCTCAGCAGTGGGTGTGTTAGACAGGCTGGAGTTTGGGGTGAAACACACCTGTGTCTGACTTCCCACGCAGAGGTAGGGGACACACCTGCAGCCCCGGCAGGAGCGGGGACCAAGGGGTCTGATCTTCATCCCAGCAGTGAAATCCCAGTGACGGGTTTTAAGCAAGAAAGGGTGTCCTGAGAGGGAACGTTCTGTTGGAAATGCCCTGCATCTTGACGCAGAGGTGGTCACGCAGCTGTATGCTTGTGTAAATGGTATGTCACTGTACTCTTCAGACATATATCTTTTACTGTATGTAAACTATACGTCCACTTATTTAAAAAGATAAGCATGCCAAGCTCACAAGAGGCAATGCCAAGACTCAAATCCACAAAGGGCCAGGACTCATGTGGGGTTAGGGTTGGGTTAGGGTTAGGGTTAGAGTTAGGGTTAGGGTTAGGGTTAGGATTAGGGTTAGGGTTAGGGTTGGAGTTAGGTTAGGATCAGGGTCAGGGTTAGGGTTAGGGTTAGGGTTAGGGTCAGGGCCAGGATTAGGGTTAGGGTTGAGTTAGGGTTGGAGTTAGGATTAGAGTTAGGTTAGGGTCGGGGTCAAAGTCAGGGTCAAGGTCAGGGTTAGGGTTAGAGTTAGGGTTAGGGTTGGGTTAGGGTTAGGGTTAGGTTAGGGTCAGGGTCAGGGTCAAGATCAGGGTCAGGGTAAGAGTTAGGATTAGGGTTAGGGTTAGGTTTGGAGTTTGGTTAGGGTCAGGGTCAGGGTTAGGGTTAGGGTTAGAATTAGGTCAGGGTCAGGGTTCGGGTTAGGGTTAGGGTTAGGGTTCTAGTTAGGTCAGGGTCAGGGTCAGGGTTAGGGTTAGGGTTGGGTTAGGGTTGGGGTTAGGATTAGAGTTAGGTTAGGGTCAGTGTCAGGGTCAGGGTAAAAGTCAGGGTCAGGGTTAGTGTTAGGGTTAGGGTTGGGTCAGGGTTAGGGTTAGGGTTAGGTTAGGGTCATGGTCAGGGTTACAGTGGGGCAAGTGAGGCAGGCTCATGCAAGTGCAGGGTCAGATCCTGCCTTTATGTAAAATGTCAGTATTTTGTTCATCGTGGATTTATGTACATGTATGTGATTTTTATGTTTTAAAATACTGCCCTGCCATATTCATTTGGAATACTGAGTTTGAGGCACCCCCTTAATGTTTGTGACTGAGGCCAGGGCCTCACCCTCCCTCCTTGCCCTCGTCCCAGCCCCAGTACCCAGGCCCCTCTGCAGGCACGTGCCCTTGGCCACCCCATAAGGGGCCTCCCTACCCTGGTCCAGGCACCATCGAGATTCGGTTGGAGGAGCTTTGAAGGAGAACATGCTAAGAGATACTCACACTCGGGACCTGGAGAAGGATGATTGCAACACACTCCCAGGGTGGGGCTCTGGCAAAAGAGAAAGAAAAACATTTAGAAAGTGTCCGAGTAAGCCTGCGGATGACAGGAAAGATAGTGAGAGAAGGGGGAACTGTTTGGGGCCTGGTCACCAGGGGGAGGTCGGCTTCTCACA